CCGAAACGTTGGACGCCGCGCAGAACGAGCCTAAAAAAACACACACACCGAAGTCGGAAAGAAACCCATAAACAAAACCCCGTTGTTATTTTTTTTTAAATTGACAAATCGATGTCTTCATGCCTCTTTAAGAGATAATTAAACTGGGGCACACAGGTGGGTAGATTAACCCCGCTCTAATTGAGGCAGCCACAGGAGGCAGAACGAGGAGGGTATAGACCGAGATCAAACAGCCCCTGCTGCCGCTGCCGCTCCCCGCACAGACACACGCATACGCGCGCGCGCAGCCTCCTGCATTATGCGCGTCCTCTAATCTTTAGACCCGGAGAACAGAGCGGGACAAATGGAGCGAGACGCACATCGTGGGGGCTACGGGCGAAGGAGGCCGCCCGTAGACCCAACAAAGCGCGCGACGTCGGACCGCCGCCCGCCCCGCCGCCGCCATCTGTCCGCGGCGCTGGCGCTCGCACGGACTTCCTCCACCTCCTCCTCATCGCCGCTCGGCGCTCGCCCCGGGGCGCGACGGTGGCGGAACACGCGGCCCGGACGGGCGGACGACGACGCTCTTCGCCCCCCCCCCCCCCCCCCCCCCCCCCCCCCCCCCCCCCCCCCCGAGGGCAGCCGGGCGAAGGAGAAGCCGCCTGCCAGGCATCGAGAATGGAGAATCATTAGCGGGCAATACGCTAATGAGGCCGCGATGGAGGGCCGGCTAATTGTGAGGCCATTAGCATGAGAATGACAGGGCAGCGGCGGCCGCGGGGAGAGGTGGCTCGGCAAAATCCACTTCCCTTTCTTGCAAGGGGCAGCGAGGGCCCCCAAGAGACAGAGGGGGGCCAAGAGACTTCGGCGGGGGAGGGGAGGGGGGCGGCCCGTCACGCTAACAATGTAGGCAGCTTAGGGTCGACAGACTTGACATGAAATCCGGGGCTCGGTCAAGCGCACACTTGGCCTCCCCTAACCTGCGCCCCCTGCCCCCCACGGAAACACGACGCGGCAGTCGCGCTGCTGCCACCGCTGCACAGCTCTACAACAACAACTCGGTGGTGGACGCCATTTAAATAATTAACCTAGCCGACTTGTGCGTTGTTGACAAAGGCTCGGACCGAGGTTGCTCTACCCGTTTCCCTATTTTTATTGTAATTCTGGACACTGTCGCCACTCACAATGCACGCATCGCTCATCAGCAGCACGGGGCACCGATTAGCCTGGCCAACTAGCCATGGAAACCACGTGGGAGGGAGGGAGACTGTGACGGCTTAGGGAGGCCTTCATCCAGAAATGGATAGATTATAGCTGATAGTGGTGGTCATGATGATAATGATGATCCATTAAAAAACACAGACATGTACAAACACAAGACATATGCAACATTGGGTACGGTATAGAGGATTTACCACTTCATGAAGTCTAACTTGCATTGCACTGGGCCGTTCAGTTAATCCGGTTGTAAATGGAACTGGCTGACCTGCCCCTCCACTGGACATCTGTGAAAATTAGCATAACTCATCAGATTCCTCCTCCTGCAATCTAAATAAAGATTCTGAGAGTTGCGTTCTGCTTTATCAAACCGTGACAAGGAAGCTTACAGCTTGTGGAATCATTATCCCTCCCAGGGGTCACAGAATACAATTCGAGTTTATGATGCCGGGTTAATATAGCAGGTTTATATATAGTCAGTTTAATATAGCGAGGTTTATTTATCTGGGGTTATATTGCAAGTTTATATAGCCAAGTTTAAATATCTGGGTTTCAAGACGCTGTAGAGAACCACGCCAGTCACAGGACATGAAAGTCTTGGAACGGGACCTGAACAGGGACAGTGGGTCGACACCGTGAATTATTATTATTAGTTATTTCGCTTGTTTACCGAGCAAAGCTTTACCTAGGAGAGAATCTCAAGACGCTTTATCAGGAGGGTCCTGCCAAGTTTTCGCAGTACGGGGGGGGCGATGATGCCGCTGTGTGTGAGCCCAACTAAGTAATTTGTGAGTGATTTTTTTAAACAATGGGATGTTTGGTTACATTGTGTGGGGCTTTTAGCTCTGGAAAGAAACCAGAGAACCTGGAAAAAATCCATGCAGAACAGGGGGAGAACACTCAATCTCCACACAGAGAGACACCCCAGTCAGGAATCAAACCCGGGTTACTGCCATGCACTAGAGCGCCACCGCTACGCCACCCTGCTGCCCCTACGGCTGGCGCAAATGAAGTTTCAGACCGTGGGAGCAGCAGAGGAGAACGAGCGACCCTCCCGCCGATTGACAAGAGGCGTCACTTTAATCAGTGTTTGCGCAGCAGAGCATCTCACAGGGAGGGCCCGCGCACCGCGCCGACGCTCACCAGCGCCGCCGTGCCTCCCTTGTTTGCCAAAGCGTAATTAGCAGCCCCACTTAGCCCTGCCACGCGGCATTACCGTAATCGTAATTTGTTCCCGGTGCCCGGAGCCCAGCGGGCGCCGGGACGGGGGAGCAACCTCTCTCTCTCTCTCGCCGCACCGCCGGATAGCCGGGCCCAGCGGCGTGGTGCAGCGTGGCTGGCGCGGGTAACCGGTGGTGCCAATGGGGAGTCCCTCCCTCCCCCACCGCCCCCCCCCCCGTGCGACATCCCCTCTCTTTGTAGCCCAGCACCTGGGCCCCTTTGGCCCACGGGCCCCGGTGAAGTCACTCCGCCTGTGCGGCACCCGACAGCCGCGCTGCTGCGTGCCGGGACGTGGGCCGGACGATGCGCGGGTTCGCGACCCTCCACTGCTCCCGCTGCCCTAGGAGAGAATCAACCTCGGGCCAATGTATTCACCTCTCTCCGTGTACATGTGGGGTCTTAATAATAAGATACCGAAATAACAGTCACCCTTTTGTCAATCCACTGCTGGATGAAGTCACCCCACGCCACGACGTACTTCACCACGCGGGGTCGGTGCGGGTTGATCTCGGAAGGGATGCCGGGGACTGGTCCGGGCATCACTCCCCACTGATGTCAGCCGTGGCCAAGACTCACGCTCTGGTCATCGGGGGTTCACGGCGCAAGGGTGTGCCAAGCACTGCGCCGCCGCTCCCCGTGGTGAAAAAAAAAACGAGGTCAAATCGTTCCGTGAAACGAGCTCAGAGTAGGAAATGAGTGGGGAGGGGCGACTGAGGTCCACTGAGCACCCTTCAAGCTCTCGTCTCCGCCGCTTGACCCCCCCCACGCCCCCCGCGGTGAGAAGTTCATCTCTCATCTCCTCAGCCCAGCTGATGAGAGTCCCAGGACAATGCCGTTAAACGCGTAATGGTTAAACCGGTGGCTCTCACGCAGTCTGGCTCGGCTATCCAAGGCGTAGTCCTCTTTAGCAGGAGCGGACAGAAGCCGCCTGCTTAGCACAGAGGTCACGGGTTCGATTCCATCTCATCGCACGGCGGCTGGACCGACGGTGCGGGCGTCTGGAATCCCCCCCCCGTGACCCCGGTTCACCCCCCGCAGTGCAAGTGGGTTCGTCACAGCGAGCCGTTCGGCAGGCCGCGCGTGTGGTGGGGTAAAGCGTGGGTACGCCGACACCTTCCAACACGTCCGGTCAACGTGGAAGAGTAGGCCAAATACCCTCCTCTCGTTTAGCGGGCCCGGAGAGGTGACGGCGAGGGAGCGGGTGGGATGTGACGTGGGCGACTGCATGAGCGGCCGAGTTGACGCTCGCAACAAAGATCCCCCGTGTAGCTTTAACAGGCTGCAAGGACAAGTGCTGTTAGCGAAGACCTATGAAGGTCGGCACGGCACACGAAAGGAATGGTGGCCGGCACAATACCCAGCCGCCTTTGTCTCCCCTGTGCTGATGTTTACACATCGCATCAGGTACTTAATTAAGGCCGAGTCAACATAGGGGAGGCCCAGGACCAGTTCATCTATTCATCACTGGTGTTGGCCGTGCGTGGGAATCGAACTCGTGTCACCGGCTTTGCAGCGCAGCGTAGCGCTACACCGCTGCTCCCCACACACACGCATGCCCCTCGCGTGTTCCTCACTCCCGGCTGTTCCATTTCCGCAGACTGGAAGAGGAGCAAAAAAATATATACACAAAAGCAGCAGGAGGAGAGGTGGCTATAGGAAACTAATTACGCAAACACCAGGTAGCCCGCAAACACTTTAAAGAAACGTTAATTCCTTTAAAGGGGAAGCGAATAATGTAGTTAAGTCCGTCTCAGCAGGAGAAGTAAACACATCCGCAGCGAGCAGGCCGACTGGCCAGCGGCGGCACGAGGCACCACACAAAAGCTTCGGGCCCCAACCGGCTCAAAGGGTCCCAAGCGGCTCAAGGGGCCCCGGATTCATGACAATCGTCGGGGCGCGTCAAATATCGGCTCGAGTTCAAATCCCAATGAACGTTTTAATTGGCGTGTTACGTTAATTGAGAGTCCGAATTTGAGCCGCCGGGGTTAGCTGGTACGCAGCAATTATCCCCATGAATACGGTGCCTCCTTGAGCTGCTTGGGGCCCCGAGCTTACGCCGGAGCGCAACCGCTACTCTTCCTCAACGATGACGCACACGCACGTCACCTACAATGGGCTTACCGCTTTTAAATAGCCAGGTCCTTGTCAGATCGCAAGACCTGTTACACCTCTCCCCGCCATCTCTCCCTCTCCCTTAATAAAACTCGCGGCCAAGGCTGCCTCCTCTCTCCGCGGGCGACGGCTGCGGCGCGGGGCGAGCGGCGTGGAGCGGAGTGGAGCCGTCGCAAGCACAGAGCCCGGCGCTCCCTCGGGGAGGGGGCCTCTGGTACCCCTGGGGGGTTGATTAGAGCGCTCCACCCATCACCTGGCCCCAGCCCACACTCACCCACTACGGCTCACCTACCCCCACTCACCTGCAGCCGCTCACCCACTACGTCTCACCCGTCCCCACTCACTCGCAGCAACTCACCTGCCCCCACTCACCCGCTACGTCTCACCCATCCCCACTCACTCGCAGCAACTCACCTGCCCCCACTCACCCACAGCAGCTCACCCACTGTAGCTAACTCGCCCCAACTCACCCGCGGCTGCTCGCCCAGGCCCGCTCGCCCACAGCTGTTCACTCGTAGCGGCTGACCTGTAGCTGCTCATCCGCAGCCGTTCACCCAGGCCAGCTCACCCGTCGCTGCTCATTCTGAAGAGAGAGAGGGGACAGGTTAACAGAGAGAAGAAGCCACGGCCCCAACTCCCAGTCCACCGCCACCGCTGACCGTGGCGAGAGAGAAGGCAGCAGGGAGGGAGACAGAGGCTTAGAGGGACAGGGGGAAACAGAGCGAGGAAGTGAGAGGGAGGCAGAGCGTCTTTAGAACTCGCACTGTGTCTCTGTTCGACACGCGCGACGCACCCCCGATAACATACATCCATAGCACGCACCTCCCAGCGATTGGTAGCTTTGCATCTGCACTGCATCGCTCGGCTAACGTGCAATGTGAATGTATTTTTGCCCGTCTCCGTACGAGTCAAGTCGGTTTATTCGAACGAGCCTGGGAGATTTCTGATTTGCACCTCCTGGCGAAGAGCAGAAGCGAGCGGTGCATTTTCTGCGCGACCGTCGTGGCGTTCTCATCTGGAGCACCTCCTTGTCGCACCGCGGAGGCTTCCCCGGGCATCCCAAGCCATATTCTTAGGTTTTTTCGGTAAAGTCATGTAGGTAAAAAATTTAAATTAATAAAAGTAAAATAAATAAAAAATCACGACGTTTCGGAGGCAACACAAGCTTCCGTCTTCAGGTGGAACCGTCACAGCACGCTTGCTGTATCAAGTACTTTTTAATTAATTTTTTTACCTACGTGACTTTACCGAAAAAACCTAAGAATATGAATCCTTGCAGTCACGAAAGCTTCAAATCTAGAATTAACAGCCCAAGCCACTCGGCGCACTGCGGTCTCCTCTGCCGCCGCCGCCGCCGCCGGCAGGAAGCTGCGGCTGGGTCCAAGCAAGTAGCTGCCGCAACCACTGCTTGCGCCGTCAACTGCGTCACCACCTGAACCATTACATGCACTATCACCTGCGTCACCACCTGAACCATTACATGCACTATCACCAGCGTCACCACCTGAACCATTACATGCACTATCACCAGCGTCACCACCTGAACCATTACATCCACTATCACCTGCGTCACCACCTGAACCATTACATGCACTATCACCTGCGTCACCACCTGAACCATTACATGCACTGTCACCTGCGTCACCACCTGAACCATTACATGCACTATCACCTGCGTCACCACCTGAACCATTACATCCACTATCACCTGCGTCACCACCTGAACCATTACATGGACTATCACCTGCGTCACCACCTGAACCATTACATGCACTATCACCTGCGTCACCACCTGAACCATTACATGCACTATCACTTGTAGAACACCTGTGCCACCAACCTGCACCACCACCTCCGCCATAACCTGCACCATCACTTTGACGTCACCCGCGCCATCACCCGCGCCATCAACTGCACCGCCGCGCTCCTGACGATGCCTCACCGAGCCACCATCATGGGACCGTCATCATGGAGAGGGCGCTCACTGCTGTGACATCACCACGCACCTGCAGCGCGTTGACAAAACAGAGAGAGCACAGCCAATGTGGGATTTCGATGATGCTGACAATGTCCAACTTTGAAGCCGACAGATGATTACTACCCTTTATCTATTTACGTGACTGGAGCGTAAACTTAATCACGTAGGCATTCGCAGCCAATAACACGATTTATAATATTGTTTTGGGTTAGGCCACCACGTCATGATTTGGGCCGAATCTGTTTCATGAGACCCTCCACCACCGGACACAGCCAAACCAATTAAACTGTCACGCAGAGCGCCAGTGTGCAACAAACGACAAGCCACAAACGATTGTGTCAACTCGCTCGTTGGTGAGCTGAACAACGATCAATCTCAAGTTTACCGATGTGATACCGGTAAATGTTTTGTCTTAACTGCGTGTGTAGGTGACACTTTCATTTGGCGATGTTGGGTGGTGGAGGGGCTTACAACATAAAATGTGGCCAGATCAATACGTGGCCTATCGCAACAATAAATTTTGACTCATCGTCGGGGCTTTGTCTTTCGGTGCGGGTTTTTACAGACAATGACACCACAAGTGATAGAACCGCTGGCAAGGATTCCGTAACGAAGTAAACACCCAACTTACAGCAGCTCTCTCAAATCGTTTATAGGGCTGTACCGTACGCCGTTCGGCGGCACCACGTCCCGGCACGGGGAGCGAAACGTCGGATACCGCACCCCACAGCACGCGGCGCGACAAGAAGTTTACGCTCTCCACGTGCAAAAAGTATTGTTTTGATTCGCTCAGCAGGAAGGTAGTAATTCTTATTCTGACATTAAACAAATAATAATCTGATAAATGAATCCGTATGCAATTAGGATAACCTTTGCATGGATATATTAAACAAAAGGTATTAATATTATCATAATTAGAAGCAGAATGGTATTGTTAGCACGAACCGACCCAGGAAGCCGCTACGATACACGAGTAAACCACGACATCTGTAATTATGACCCGGACCGTCAACAAAGATTCTAATTCACAAACAACGAGCATGGCGACGGACGACGACAACAATAACCACAAACAACCAACGCGGACGTAGCAGACACTCATTGTGAAAACAAACAACTTCCAGGGAACGAGCGAGACTCCGCCAAGGAACTGCGATCGTCGCCTCCTCAATACTTCGACCCCTTTGACGAGCAGAGGCAGAGGACGCGACAAATTTGGCGACGTGGATTATCCGGCGCGCGCACACGCCGAGTGCGAGTGGTGGCGAACGTCTCGCTTTGATGGGCCGAAGCGGGAGGGGTGGGATGGGGGCTTCGTGCTGTGGCGGCGGCGGTGGAGACCGAGCAGAACGGCGGCCGTCAGCGGCGATCGCAGGTGGAGCTGGGAGCACGGCCGGGAAGCGGCGTCCGAGTCGGGGAGGCCAATTAGGCGCGGCGCGCGCGTGGAGCTGAGCGTCCGCCGTCTCGTCGGCGCACGGTGCGCGCAGCACGCGAGCTTGTACATACACGCACGCGGGCTTACCGGTCCATGCCTGGCCACTTTTGTCTCCGCAGTTCTGATGGCTACACAAAAGGCGATACCACACACACACACATGCCGGCACACACGCGCACACCAAGAGTTGAGCTGACACTGACAATTCATCAAAATCTATGCAAGAAAATAGAGGAGTTATGACAGTGGTGGTGATGCTAATGAAATGAACGACCCCGGAATTACCTTTTCTGAATTGAAAAAGGTGTGCCCATTGCACTGCTGTCAATGTTGCTGTTTCTGAGCAATGTGGAATGATTAGAATCATCCCTCTGTAATCCAGGATACACTGCGAGGTATATGTACATATGGTAAAGATAGAGATCAAACAGGTGGAGTGGTGGCACAGCGGTTAGCGCTTATGCAATGATTATCAGGCCTCAGTGGCGAATGATGTGTGAACCGGTCTAGTGAAGTATGGTCAATTAACCCACACGACCAACACCCGCATTGGGAAGCTTTCATCCAGTAGTGGATGCACACGTGACTGTATATTGTTATTTACATTTCACATCAATTGTACAATGTTTAGTCGAATATATTTCTTGTGTTACAGGACTCAATTGTGATATTTTTAAAAGTGCTATTCCGTGAAGTTCATTTGGTTTCAGGTTCACATATTTGGTTATCATAATAATAATGGATTTCATTAAAGCTGCTGGCATGAGGGGCGAAACGTCGGAAATCGGTGGAACGCGCGGCACGACCCGAACGAAAAGCTGCGCAGCGTCGTGGATTAAAGCCGCCGTCGATTAATTGACCGTAGCTGCAGGTAGTTTCACAATCTCACTGTCCTTTGTGTAACGCATCCTGGCATGCGGGTCCGCTCTAATTGGCTTCCTCTTGCTCACCACGCCTGGCCAGTCTCATGCTGAAGCCCTGTGAAAAACACACACGCCTCTACCGCTCACCACACAAAAACATACAATGCATACAATTTTATATGCTTAAAGTTGCCTCAAAATTAGGTTTAAACGTAAATTAATCGAGTTGTCCATCACACAAAGCACCTTTAAAAGTGCCAAACCAAAACGGAAGGACAATTTTGTGAAGGTATGGGAGGGAGCCTTACCTTCAAGCCCCATCTCACTTCCCTGGATGGATTGCAGGACCCCCCCCCCCACCTCATCCCCTTCCCATCCACCCTTTCCCTGCTTAGTTAACAACAGGTTAAACGGGTGAAAATGTAATAGGTTGAATGGGTGGCATTAGGACATTGCTATTTTATCAACTCGCCCCATTTTCTTCGCACAATTTACAATGGACCTGGCTCCCAGTACCACCCAGTCACCCCACCACTTTTATCTCACATTCGTCCAAGGTAGAGCTTTTGCGTTTGCTTGCATCTTTGTGCGGTTGTGCCCTCGGAGCGTGCCTTACATTCGGTGTGCTTAGTAACGTTTCTCGCTTTGGGAAAAAGTCGAGCTGGATCGTACGACGCAGCCGTCTTTTGTTTACGCGGTGCGTGCGGAACAGCATCTCGCGCGCTCCGTGCTTTTCTAAGTAGCCGTTATTTGCAATTTAACTCAACGCCCACGCGACCGCCCGCTCGCCGGAGCGAAACGCTCGCGGGCATCTCAGGTGCGCCGCGGTTCCGAGGGGAAGGCGGCACGGCGACGCTCGTGGCCACCGCGGTCGCGCGACTCCGATCGCTCGGGTGGCGCGCCATCCCCCTACAACCGCAAACGATCGCTCGTAAAACGCTGCGGAGACTTGTTGCCAAGTGAGGGCAAGGGACAAATGTTTACGGGGGCCAGCTAATCACCTATGTAATCCTGCTTTGTGGCGTTTGGTGAATATATATTTATTTTACCCTTCTTGGCACCAAACACCAAATCTCAAGACGGCAGAGACCCCCGAACTGACAGCTCGGGCCGGTTGTGGGGTGAGACGGCGGTTAATTTCCGCCCGCTAGCTCATGGCCCCAACGCAAACTCTTGGCCGCGACCATTCACCCCTGCCGGAGGGCTCAACATTTTGGAGGTCACGCAGAGGTTTAGGGCGGCCAAAGCCACGGCCGCATGCTCAGGGACGCACGCCAAATCACCGTCAGCAGCAGCGGGTCTCTCCCGTGCCAGCGTTCCGCATCACGCCGGTGTTGCGTGCGTGCGATCGTCTCCTCCAGCCAAGTGGGAGCTCCACTGCACCGCTCCCTGCCATGGCTTCAACGCCAGCTCAGGGAGACAGAGATCTGCGGAGACACTTGCGCACCCTTGCCAAAGTTTGAATACATTTCGTGCTAAAGAAGGGGAAGGTGTTACGTTTAAGAGGTATTTTTTGGCGGTGGTTCAGTATGTCGCATATCCGACCGTCACATGCCCGCCCTGACCAATTAACCACCCAGACGCAGTGCAGTATTTGTGCACGATGCCGTAACATATCTGACCGTTTCACCTATCCGCATATATCCCAGTCGCGGGCGAGTGGGATACGCTGCGGCGTCGTGCTGCGCGTGCGCATTTTACTCCACTTTTGCTGTCGCACGAAATGCGGCAAAAATGTAGTAACGAAGGACAGAACTTCCGAGGGTTTTTATTGTGAGCGTATTGCCGTCTTGGCTGGCACGTGTACAAGTTTGGTAACGCCATGCTGCCCGACGGAGACGGCCGTGGGAAGCCATCCTCAGCAGGAGACAAATCCCAGCTCTCTTCCGCAAATTAAACATTTGGGGAGTATGAGCTCCCGTTTCAGCAGTTAATCTCAACTAATTAAGACAAATGCTCAGGAAAGTGAATCGGCTACAATAGTGGGGGTGGAGAGGTGGTTCAGTTGTTTTTTCCGCCTGCTAATATTACCAAATTACACGGAGTATTTGCACTGTATCAATATGTATAATAATGATTACGGCCCATTGTCAACACATTGCTGAATAAAGGCCTCCCCATGCCGTGTCGATCATGGGGGTGGTTGTTTGACCATACCTCATTACGCTCATCAGTGTGAGTTATAGAAGGGGGGGGGGTGCCTACCCCTTGAGACACCCATTCATAAAAATATTGGCATTTTTGGACCACCGCCCACCCAGCTTTGGAAGTTTTAGGTTCGCCTTTGGGGGAGCCACAGGAGCGGTGGAGATATCACTCGCCACTGACATTAGCCGCAGAAATGAACTTGGGTTACCGGTGTCGAATCAGTCATTTTAACGTTGACGATGATCCAACGACAAAGTTCCAAACAACGATCACGGACGACAACTGACGAAGATGGCGATGTAAAAAGTCAATTTCTGGCCACCGCACCCCCCCCACGCCCCAACGACGCAGACCCCGTATCCCTCAAAAGCTCACACCTCGTGTCACGACCGCGTCCTGCAGCCAACTGCAACATCTGTCCACGACAGCCACTCTTGGCTGCCGCGTGACGACCCAAGCCTTCGTCCAGGCCTGGCGGCGGCAATGGGGGGAGTTGGGGGGGTTTGGCGGCTCTCACGCGAAACCCGCAGAGCGGCTCGGCGCTGACGGTCGGAAGCCGCTACTCGGAGGCTCGCGGTGGCGGCGGCGGTGGTGAGGTGGCTGGGAGCCAGCGGCTCCGAGCGCCACGTGGGAGAGGGACGGCACCCGGCTTCCCCGGCGCTGGTGCCCGGCGGAGCGGGCCGCCGCCGTTCTTCTGGTGCCTCCAACCATTAGGCAGACGTGATGTTATCCGTGTCTACCGCACTCTGGGACATCTCACCTTCTGATGATTTGACACCTCTCCGAAAGGTGCGAATAGCTTTTTTTTCTCTCCTTCTCTCCCTGGCATGCGATGCGATACGCAGACAAACAAGGCTTGCTTTGGATGCCGTGCGGAAAGCAATGCAAATGGGTTTTGTCTTCGCTTGAACAATGTGTTTTTTACATCTTTAATTTAAATATTTTTATGACATTTCAGAATCATTAGCTGCGTAGGTTCCCCCTCCTTTGTTGCCCTTAGTCATAGATGACGATAAAAATGTGGCATAATTGGGCACGTGAATGCGCAGCTGGTACGTATGTGTGTGTGTAGAATCATGGTAAATACATTCTCTGCTGCCATGAACAATAAACAAAGACGAAGCTCTCCTGTATCGCCTTTAACAGACTGTTTCGGCAAGTGTTGTTAGCGAACACCTATGAAGGTGGGCAGGAGATGCGAGGCACCACACAATACACCCGCGCATGCACACACACACTAAAGGAAACAACAAAAGCCGCCATTTACCACTATGGTAATGACATCACCGCATGGCCTGTGCCACGCTAGGTGCACTTGGAGGCCACGTGAAGCGTCGAAGGCTCGATGCTGACGGGCGGTCACAGGACAGACCCAGGTGTTGTGTGTAATGGATCACAGGCAGGCCCAGCCTGAATGTTCAAACTGGTGCAGGCGTTACTTTGGTGCCTCCAACCAAAGCAGCCTACGTTTTGCAAGAACAAAGAAAAGAGGGCTTAACTATGGCCGAGGAATCCTGGAGTTTCTTGTTGACATTAAAGCCCCACCACTTAGTGGCATGCTCCAAATTCAGCAGCAGAGGCTCCAACTCATTCTCAAAGTAAGCAGCAATTACGACCCATTAGCATAACATAACATGGTTGACCAGTAGGGAGCCATCTCTTGACCGCACCCGGGCATCAATCAGCCCCCCATTGAAAAGATCTAAAACTACTTGATGAAAAAAATATGTTAAATAGTCTAGGGGCCAGAGAAGATCCGTGTAGAAAGTTGAACCGGGAATAGCTCTGACTTCTGGACCTGGCCCACCTCCACGAAGGCCCTTAATTCTTTCAAGCAGCGGGCCAGGCACCCTGCACATATGGCCACAGACCCATGCGCACACACACGCACACGTGTGTATGCGCACAAAATAAAATGATCCCACCGTGTAGCCTTAAAAGACTGTAGGGGCAAGTGCTGTTAGCGAGCAGTTATGAAGGCCGGTACGGTACACGAAGGGGTGGTGTGGCCCGAACCCCACAGTACCGATGCTTGGACACCGCACCAGATACTCATTAATGGCCAAGTCAAACTGAGGACCAGGACCGGTTCAGAGATCTACCGCTGATGTTGGCCATGGCTGAGAATGTGGGAATTGAAATTCACAAGGTTGGTAGCGCTAATCGCTACGCATCTGGTCCCCACACGCACACAAAGTGTTGTTAGCGAGCACCTATCAAGGCTGGACAGCGCATGATGGGGTGGTGTCACCAGCACCACGTCCAGCTGCTTTTGTCTCCCCAAGACACCAAATTGTCATTTGAGGCTAAGTTGACCTAGGGGAGGCTCAGGACCACCCAATACTGAATTGAACTGATGTGGCCGGGTTCGCAGCGCAGGAAAGGCTGCGCTGCGTGCGCGAAAGTGCGCACACAATACGATCATAATTCACAATGCCAACAAATCACTCACAATGGAGGGGTGGGGTGGTATTCGTCAAACACGTGGGCATGCAAGCAGATTGCGGGTGCGTTCTCTTCGAGGGGCAAATGGGCGTAATCGCCACGCTGGCGACACGTCAATTAGAGGCTCGATGCTCACTCCCTTCCTCCCTCGCTCGCTCGCTCTCTCACTCGCGTACAGTAAACGTCTCCATCGCTCCTCAGCCTCCCCGAGCAAACACTCGGGTGTATTTATTTTCGTCGCCTAATTTAGAAATGAGCTTCCACCTCGGCTCCGCTCGGCGCTCCACAGGTAGAGTGACGTCAGGCAGCACGGCTCTCGCCTGCGCCCATCGCTCCGGGTCTCCATACCAACCGCCCCGTAGGTTTTTTTTCCTTTCCTTCAGCGCGAGAGTCAACAACGCGGCCACACGATCAGCGCATGAGCTAGTGGTCTGGACAAGGCTGACAGCGTTGTACGTGCAATGTGGGTGGTTGCGTGACATGCACGCAAGCCACGTGAATTGGGACTCATGCGTTGCCCTCCTGCTGTTTGTGAGCAACACACCATTTTGTGTATTTGTAAATTTACACACTCACCCACACACCCGCTCACTCACTCGCCCATCTACTCTATCACCTACACCTCTGCGTGTTGTTATTTACATTTGTTTCCAGCCTGCACGCGATCTCCTGCTGTGATGGGCTTTCTCATCATAAAAAAGTGTTGGAATTTAATTATTTGCGGAGTCTGCTAGGCAACATTCATCGTGAAACGGTCTCTGCCGCGATCGGGCGACACCCCGACGTGTATGCATCACGTCGCAGGATGCACAATAAAATCATCGTCCGATGTGAAAAATATCGTTACGTCCCGATGACCGTTGCTCATTAAGATTAAATTTCCTGACAAAATGTTTATGAAACTACAAAAATGTAATTTCACAATCGTGATCAAAATAAATCGAAATGGATGAAGCTTATTGAACGAGCGCTTTGTGACACGTTTTCTGGAATAATATACGTCATGGCGATACGATGAGGCCATCGTTTTCTGACACCTTGCTCGGGACAAGGACCGCTGTTGAGCGAGTGGCGGTTGAATGACAATGAAGCGCTCTTTACCCGAACTTGAAGTGCATCAGGGCGCAAAAACAAGACGGATAAATGCGAAACACAGTTACAAAGTTATCGCGATAACCGTTACATTTAATCTTCTTGGTTCTTTCGGTAAAGTCACGTAGAAGGGAAGTAATAAAATAATACAAATAAAACATAATAAAATATTATTTTATTACTTCCCTTCTACGTGACTTTACCGAAAGAACCAAGAAGATGAATCCCTGCAGTCACGAAAGCTTTAAATCGTTAAATTTAAGTTCGCATCGCTAAACATGGCATCGCAGGGGCTGCGTGAATGTAGAGGTGGTTGGGTGGGTCAGAGGTCAGAGCGCTGAGCCTGCACCACTGAGATCCGGGATTTAAATCCAGGTTCGTGCCACCTGCCATTAACCCGGGTTATCAAGTGCAGCGAGTTGAGTGCAGTGAGCTTCAGCCCGGTCACCAATGACCGGATACCAAAAAAACCCATCACATTAAATTTGGTCCTGCACTTAATTGACCGTCGTGCGACGAGCGGAGCGGGTGGGAAAGCGCCGACCCCTTCACCGTGTGTGACCAGAGGTCACTTCATGAAAGGGACCTCGGAGGTAGAGCTCTGCACGATACCCGCCTCCCAACACACTGGGTCACGGCACTGATCTGCTAGATTTGCGATGGGATCCTTCCGTTCTAGATTTGAAGTTTTCGTGACTGCAAGAATCCATACTCTTTGGTTTTATTCGGTAAAGTCGATCAGCGCGGTTGTGTTACGGGAGAGGGGACGGGTGGCCGTGACGCAGGGGCGGCCACGCAGTGCCCTCTCGGTCCTCTCTCCGCGAGGTGGCGGTTTGACCCCGGCGTCACCTGCCAGGCGTTTTCCACGGTGCCGCGTGACGAATATTCGCGAAATTGTCGCGGGAGGCTGCCACGGTGGTGTAACGATCAGCGCACCGGATTCGATCTCCCGGCGCGGCTGAATTAATGGAGCGAGTTTCCTAAATCGCCTTCATCTTTGTCCACCCAGCAGGAGAAATGGGTTCCACCACAGATATATCGATAGATCGACTTGGTGGGGTAAAGTGTGGGTACACCCATCTCTTAGCAGACGTCTGGCCAACGTCAGACTACAGTAGGCCAAAACATCCTCCACGAGTCTACGGGGTCTCTAGAGAGCTACCTCTGGTTGTTTGGCCATCTGACAGCAGTAGGCGTGAGCAAGACATTGCGGGGCTGCACCTCTATTTTTTTAAGATTCCACAAACGCCTCGACTCAAGATTTTACGAACGTGTTTTGAACACAACACGACGTCGCATCACTCCGGGAGTTGACGATCGCACACAAAATTAAAATAAAAACCTTAAAATCGCCGCGTTGCCCCGACGACTTCCTCACCTCCAGGCCGGGTCCAGGCTCGAGGCCTTCACGCGTTCCCTCTGCCTACGACTTACTTAGTCCCTGGAATACATACAAAACAATAACAATATATGTACACACACATCATGGAATAAAGTGTGTACGTTTTGCCATGCGGGGCGCATCTACACCCGATGTGACGTGTATCCAAGCGGCGTTGTGTCGTGATTCCACTCCGACCACGTGGCTCGCGTCTCAACAGAGGGCCGCGCTAAAGGCAAAACCCCCAAAAATCATCGGCCAGCAAAACGAAAACAACTTCCCCCTCCTCCTCCTCCCGGTCTCACGCCACGACGACGATCTCCCCGGCACACCACGTCGAGCGCAGGGCTGTGTGGCCCCGCTCGTCGCGAGCTATTCCTGCGAGGCGACGGGTCCCATCAGGAGCGGCCGTGTCACATTGGGAGTGGCAGGCGACCCGGCCATTGTTGTGCAACGCAAGGTCCAAGCACATACGACGGCAGGTAAACAGGTAACTAATTAGGCCTGGCACATGAGGGGGAGTCTCTCCAGACCGTCCCTCCTGTGCATCGACTCCTGTCTCGCCCCCCTCTCTTCGCACCGCACGCTCTCTTCCCGGCCCACCGTCCCTAGCTCTCTTACCTCCCCCACCCCCCTCTCCCGTGTTCTCCCTCTCAACCCACCTCTCTCTCTCTTCATCCCTCGCCAATCCGGTGATAATTAGAAGAACCGCCTGCACTCATGCTCTCCTCCCGCTCCCTAATCACTCTCAGAGGAGCGTCCCAGCCAGCGTAATTTGCGCTAGCTACAAGGAGTCTAATGTAATTTGGCCTGTCAGCGGGGCTTGATTGGGCCCCTGGTGGGCGGGCTGCGTGTGGAAGGGTGAAGGGCTGATCATCGCATGACAAGCCACAGCCACTCGCTTGCACGTCGCTTGCCGGGACGGCTTTATTTGTACCTTTTTTTTTTAAACCAAAACCCCCCTAAAATAGAAACGCTTTAATATTAGACACGGGGCTCCTCGGCGATTCCAAACCGCGAAGGCGCGAGGTCCACGATTCCCAAACCCGTGTCCTCTGCCCCGACGAGGGAGCTTTAAAGAACACGCACACACACATTTCCACTTTTATAGTTGGACAGCAATGTCCTTGCGTCTTCCTGCATCTGTATTGCGACTGTCTGGACACTTGCCCTGATGGTGCTTGTCCCCGACGATGGTGTTTGACGTAGTTTTACATTACGCGTGGGATACACATTTGACAGATTAGTTTTTTGGAGAATTTGTTCAACTTACCGCTGGTGGCCGAGGCTGTCACGAAACATTTTTGGGCCAGACTATTAACAAGTGGCCCAACCCAAAAGAGTAATCGAGTCGGCAATATCCATGTGAAATATAAATGTAGGGTCAGTCACATGGCACACTAAAGACCTTTGTCAGTTTAACCCAAAATTTGCCCCAAGTTGTCCCAGGGTTCTGTGTAGTTGGACCGTCACAGCGCCACCGTCTTGAAGTAAATGCCCGTGACGGGTTCTGTCTGTACGGGACGCGAGCAAGAATCAATTTCTCACCACACAATTGTTTGTGCCAAGCTCGCTGTTGTAGACTGGAGTAGAACACGTGACGAGTATCTACAGCCACAGCGAGAAGAGGCATTTAGAGAGGACTGTCTGCGCTGCGGTGCCGGATAAGGGAATGGTCTCCGTGTCGCTGGCCCGGACAGCCGCGGCAATGCTCGCCGCTCGTGTCGTCCACGCCGCGCCGGAGAAGCGGAGCGGGAGGTCCCCTCTCACCTCCCGGTAGGAGGGCGAAGTTGGTGGACCAGAGAAGAACTCTCGTTTGAGCCGGCTCGGCCATAGTCGACGGACCGATAAATGTCTGCACCGCCCGGCACACACCCACCCACCCACCTACGGCACACGTGTGGCTACGTGCCCACCTACTTGGGCGCACCATCGACCCAGGGATATTGTTCCTGTGCCTGGCACACACTCCACACCCAGTATAGAGGGCTGCCCAGAGGAGAGGCGAGGAGGAGGGCAACATGGGCAATTTGCCCCGGGGCCTCGCACAAAAGGGGACCCCACAGCGGGCCTGTGAATGGTGGAATATGGGGGGTGGGGGGCCCATGTGGCATTGCTGCCCATGGCGTCCAGGAACACTGCCAGTGCTACCTCTCGTTACGACTGCGACTGCCAGTCACGCGCCACCAATTCGAGTCCTGCGGTGACCCACAGACGTGCACAGTCCTTGTACTGACCGTACAGTATAGTATTCGGGGAGTCTGAGTGCAACCCCTGGCCCTCACCCAAGGGTGCAGTGCAGCGGGGGGCAGTCCGGAGATCCCGTGAGACACGTGCGCGCGGCGTCACGTGGCAGGAGGTGCGAAGCATCAGCCGTTAACCCCAATCGTCGCGTCCGTCACGATCCTTCCCCTTGGCCTCCGTGACAGTCAATTACTGGAGCGCCGATCTATGTTCGGGATATGATGCAAACGCCGATGCTTTGACGCTTGCATAATGGTGATGAATGCGTTCCGTTCCACGCGCACTTGCGTGGATGTTGCGTAAGGCGAGGAGGCTGACTTGACGACCGAACGTTACGCAGAGACATTTGTTTAATGAAATTAGCGTGCGTTTATGACGAAAGGGGGGGATAGATACACACACACACACGTGTGTAGCAGAATGCACTCTTAAATGTATGTTAATTAGAGTAACGTAATTTAATGGGCACGAAATTAGCGACAACGGAGACACGCGTACGGAGTGTTTTGATTTGTTTTAAACCAACCTGTCACGCGTGCGGTTTGTCTCACGCTCACGGTAACTCTCTCTGTCTCTACCCATACCAATGTCCTTTCTATAAGACGTCAGTTATCATCGTATCGTGAAATCATAATAATAGCATGGCCACGTTTATGTCTGCAGTTTGTCGTACTTACCCCGCACCTCCGATTAGCACGGTTGGCTACGTACGGTGCGACAGAAGTTCAACTTACATACGAAAAAATATATTTAAAAAAATCTATTTCAGCATCATGGTTTACTGCTAAGTTGACGGAAGGGACGATGATTGTGATGAATCATAATTTTGCCGGCCCTTTATTAATTCACTGCTGGATGAAGGCCTCCCCATGCCATGTCAGTCATTTGACTATACTTCACCATGTTCGGGATGAGTTGGTGAACGGTTATAATCATAATTATAATAAAAATTCATATTGTAATGCGTATTCCATCCTAGGATATCAATGCGCAACGCGTGGAAAGCAGGAAACAAAAACAGAGCCAGGGGCAACCGACCAAACTAAATGGGCAAGGCCGCTTTAAAGAGATGGGTTTTCAAGCCAGACTTCAATCTATCTACCGACTCTGATTTCCTGATTTCAAGCGGCAAATCGTTCCAAAGCTTGGGTGCCACGCTAACAAAAGCCTGATCTCCAAAAGCGCGCAACCTAGACCTGGGAATGCTGAGCAGTTGTAGATCAGAAGATGTTAAGGACCTTGATGGAATATATAAACGTATTAGTTCCTGCAAAAATAAAGTAATGCGGAGTGAGTCCTTTTAAAGCATTATGACCAGAATCGAACTCGGATCTCCGGTGTTCGTAGTGCAGCCCGCTAACCACACCACCGCCGCTCCCAGCGCCGTCACGTTGCCCACCAGGCTTCCACTCGCAATAATTCGACAATAATAACGAGCGGAAATTACTATTACGACTATTATTAATTACTCGCTGTCAATGTGCGCAGGCGATTTATCCACACCTCATGGTGCTCACTCATTAAACGCATCGACCTAACAGATCCCCACGTACACCACACGCGCGCACAAGGAGAAATACAAAGCTCCCCCGTACAGCCTTGAATAGGTGCTGTTAGCGAGCACCTGATGAAGGCCGACACGGCACACGAGGGGGTGGGAGGTCAGAACCACGCCCAGCCGCATTTGTCCACCGCACCAGGGTACTTATTTGAGGCCGAGCGAACCCAATGGGATGCCCAGGACCGGTTCAGATCATTCGCCACTGTTGTGAGTGGGAATAAATCTCGGGGTCGCCGATTCCGTCGCGTCGTGCGCGCTAACCGCTGCGCCACCGCTCCCCACGTACACGCGCACGCACAACACTCACGCGCGGAGGCGAAACCCCCAGCGCGCTTCATTCGCGCTCCTCTCCCCGCGTCGCCCCCCCCAGCCTCCGCTGTGCACCCCCCCCCCCCCCCCCAGTCATCAGCAGCGTCCATTGTTCCGCCGTTATGAGACTGACAAATGCTCGTTGGTGCCCCCTGGCCATGTCTTGTCCTCCACTCTCTCGCGTTCTCTCTCCCGCTCGCTCGCTCGCTCTCTCGCTCCCTCTGCCTCTCTCACTCTCCCTTTCCGTAGGGTCATCGCCCAGTCACGCGGCCTCTCGGTGAGATTCGTTAGCCTTCGTTAGTGTTGTCTATCTTGTTAACTTGCCCTGACTTGCTCGCTATTCGTGGTGCCGGCGAGGCGACGCCGTTTGCATCCTCAGCACACACGCGCCGCTCTCTCCCACCCACTCGCAAAGGCAAAGCTGTCCCGGGTAGGCCGCACGGACAATTTGGGACAAGCGCCGTTAGCCAGTGGCATCTACCAAGGATGGCACGACGTGCGAAGAGGTTGGTGAGGCCAGGACCACGCACGGATGCCTTTGTCTCCCCATGGCACCAGACACTTATTTAAGGCTGAGTTGCACTAAGAGAGGTCCAGGAATGGTCCAAGATTGGTGCAGATTTCTTGTATGTATGTATGTTGAATTTATTTCGCATCGTACGTAGCCAACCGTGCTTATCGGAGGTGCGGGGGAAGGACAACACTGATTTATATTCGCCCTGAGCTGGGTATGAACGCGGCTCGCCGAGTTTGGAGCGCAGAGCGCTAACCTATACGCAAAAACAAAGACAAAGATCCCCCGTATAGCCTCAACATGCGTTTGGGGCAAGTGCTGTTAGCGACTACCTATAAAGGCTGGGACGGCACACGAGGGGTTGGGTGGCCAGGACCACACCCGGGCGCCTTTGTCTCCCCAGTGGCAATGTTTACATACCGGACCAGATAC